CCCCCCCGAGTTTTAAATGCTTCCTCATTGTGTCATTTCCCTTGTTTCTTTTCCTCCATACTTCTTATAACTTGGTAGTTACATCTAGAGGGTTGATTAGATTTGATTGTAAGTTTTTTTGTAATGCTTTGTACAAGTAATTTTTTTCTTTTTTTTAAGGCCATTTATTTTTTTATTGATTTCAGAGAAAGGAAGGGAGAGGGAGAGAAAGAGAAAGATCGATGATGAGAATCATCAACCAACCAACTGCCTCCTGCACACTCCCTACTGGGGACTCAGCCTGCAACATGGGCACATGCTCTGACTGGGAATCGAACCGGGACCTCCAGGTTCATGGGTCAATGCTCAACCACTGAGCCATACTGGCCAGGCACCTTTTTTTAAAAAAAAACAGAAAAGCAAAAACCTATACAAACTGCAAAAACAGAAATTTTCTTACTGTTCTGGCCCTGCTGTATTTACACTTGTAGTTTTACAGAGACCAATTTGTGGGCTGCAGAGCTAAAATTGCTTCAATAACCCATACTAAAGAGCAGTGTTAGATTAGGGGTTAAACTGTGAAATCTCTCTTTTGTTAATTAATTAATATTGATTTTCTAAAGAGGAAGGGAGGGAGAGAGAGAAACACTGATTTGTTGTTCCACTTATCTATGTATCATTGGTTGATTCTTGTATGTGCCCTGACGGGATCAAACCCGAAACCTTGGCATATGGGGATGATTCTCTGATCAACTGAGCTACCTGGCCAAGGCAGGTTTTGTTATTAATCCTGTGGGTTGTTTTCAACAATTCAAAAGTATGTTTCTGGATTTTGATAAACTAAGTGACATCTTCTACTTTTTTTACTCTATTGAACAAAAACAATCTCATGAGGTTAAGAGAAGTTTAACCTTGTAGGCCTCAGAAGCTAGGATTGAAAATCACCTACAGATAATCACAAGAGAAAGAATATGACTTTTACCTGGAGGACCCAGACATTTCTGGGAGGAAGTTGCAGTGAAAATGACCTGAGGGACGTGGAGTATTTAGATATCTGGGAGGAAATGGGGAGGGACATTGGAAACTGAAGGAACCTTATGACCAAAGCAAAGAAATTCCCAATGATTAGATTTTCTACTAGTGACAAGAAAGGGATTCTATGTGGCTGGTTCTTGGGGCGCAAGAGAAGCCTAGAAAGGTAGATAGAGGATTGAATTATCAAGTACCCTGAAAGCTGGGCTTCATAGGTGATAGTGAGCCATCACAAGTTTGTGCGTGTGTGTGCACCATTTTTCCAAAGAGTCTGTTATTTCACTTGATTCTTACCAAAGGTAAGCAAGGGTCAGGTCACTGGACTAATGAGGAAAATACAGATGAACCGATTTTCCCAAGATACCCAGTTCATGATGATAGTAATGGAAATATTTAACAGCTAACATTGATTGAACATTTTCTGTATGCCAGGTCCTGTTCTAAGCACTTTATAGACATAATCTCACTTATTCATCTCAGCAGCCATAGGAACTACAGATGATGTTATCCCTATGTCACAGATGAAGAAGTCTGAGACACAGCAATTAGGTGACTTACACACAGCTTGTAAGAAGCAGGGCTAGAAATTGAACCTGGGCCATCTAGCTCCAGCCTATGCCTGTTGGTTTCCAAAGTAGCTGGGATTTTTAAACAGGCAAGTGACTGGATCAGACTTGTGGCCACACTGGCTATAGTGCAGAGGATGAATTGAAGGAGAGAAAGACTGAGGATAGAGAGACCAGAGAGGAAGCTATTTTAATTGTCCAAAAGTATGTTGATGAGAACTTGAGTTAGAAACAGATGTGAGATCTTTTGGGGAGGTGGAACTAGGGCCTGATGGGGACAGCACATAGCATATTATATTTGGCAATTTGCTCATCTGTCTCCCTTATTAAACTGGAAGCAATTTGAGGGCAAGGACTACCCGTTTTATTCACCAGTCTGTCCTCACCTTGAACATCCTAGCTGCTCAATAAATATTAGTTGAATGAATGAGAGGAAGGAGTCTTGTGACTCCAAGTGTTGATCATTCATAAGGCACAGGCAGGGAGATGGGCATTGGAGCAGGGTGGGGAATGTTGCAGAGATGCTGTTGTGTTGGGCTGTTAAGCCTGGCAAATGGTTAGAGGTAATCACAGCAAATACATCTGTAGACTTACTGTGTTCCAGGCACTGTGCTAAGTGCCTTTCATATGTAGGCATATTTGTTATCCAGAATCAGGAACTGAATAAATCTGGGTAGCAAGGGGGATTAAATAATTTAACCTCCTGTACAAACCCCATGAAGTAGGTTCTAGCATCATCATTATTATCTTTATTTAGGAGATTAGGAAGCAGAGCCATGGAAAAGTGAATAACTGGCCCAAGAACTCTTAAATAGCTTGAGAGTTGGGATTAACCAGGGTAGCCACTTAATCAGCACAGCTGCCTGAGTAGAGCATAGAATAGAGGTCCTGTGTTCAGGTGTAGGCTAGAACCAGAACCTTCCAGTCAGCAAACACTCTGTATAGCACCATAGGATCAATAGTCATGAGTCATCATTGTCTTGACCAAGAAGGGCCTGGGTCCATCGAGACTGGACTGGCTTAGGCTGTCAGAAGTGCGCTCAGATCTCTGTCCCCTCTACTCAGGTGGGCTGTACTCAGAGCAGCCTGCAAGGCTATACTTACTCCCTGCCCCTACTCCCCTCTAGACCTCTATGCTCACCCTCAGCCACCCTGGGTACCACCCAGTCCCAGAGCAAAGGCGATTTGCAGGGAGGGCTGGGAGATGGTGTCTGAGAAAAGGAGGTGTCTTCTGAGGGGCAGGTAAATTGGAGTTGAGTCCTCCTCTAACTCCATTTCTCTAGTGTTTCCTCCTTTCCCTCCCTCATGCCTCTCCCACTCCCTCCTCTCCCCATCTTCTCCAGCTGTGCTGACTGTCGTCACCCACACCCCTACCACTCGAGCCCGACTGGGACAGGATGCTCTGCTGGACTTGAGCTTTGCCTACATGCCTCCCACCCCAGAGGCCACTGCATCTCTGGCCCCAGGTCCCCCTCCCTTTGGGCTGGAGTGGAGACGCCAGCACCAGGGTAAGGGACACCTGCTCCTGGCTGCAACTCCTGGGCTAAGTGGGCAAATCCCAGCTGCCCGAGATGGGGCAGTGGCATTTGCTGCTTGGGATGATAATGAGCCATGGGGTCCATGGACTGGAAATGGAACCCTCTGGCTACCTGCAGTGCGGCCCTCCCAGGAGGGCGCCTATATGGCTACCATACACCTGTCATACCTGCAAGGGCAGGTCGCTCTGGAGCTTGCTGTGCAGAGTGAGTTGGGGTCCCCATGGGTAGAGGGTGGGTACTGGGATTATGGGGACACCGTGATAGGGGATGGGATGGTGGAGAAGAGGATGCTGGGGGAGAGGGGGAGATATATTGAGGTCACTGGGAGCCAGAGAGGTAATGGGTGGAGGGTCCCTGGGAATCTGACGGGCTTTGGGATGAAGGTTCCCAAATCTGAGGGAATAGGGGTTCCTGAGAACCAGGGCTTTGACATGAGAAATCGTGTGATGCACCAATGGGGAGCAGTGGGTTTACCATCCTGGGAGAAAAACCCCAGACTCCCCCTTAGTTTTGGGGAAGCTAGAGAGCAAACTGAGGGAGAACAATGTAGATTGACTCACCCCATGCTCCTTTCCTATTCTCATCCCAGAGCCCCCCAAAGTGTCCCTGACACCAGCACCTCTTGTATGGGCTGCCCCTGGGGAGGCACCCCCAGAATTGATCTGCCTCGTGTCCCACTTCTACCCCTCTGTGGGCCTGGAGGTGGAGTGGGAGCTCCGAGGCCCAGAGGGCACCTTTCAGGAGGCCAAGGGGCACAGGTGGCTCTCAGCCCTGCGCCACCACTCGGATGGCTCTGTCAGCCTCTCAGGGCACCTGCAGCCAGCCCCGGTCACCTCTGCCCAGCATGGAGCACGCTATGTCTGTCGAGTCCACCATCCCAGCCTGCCCACCTTGGGACGCAGCGCTGAAGTCACCTTGGAGGTGGCAGGTAAGAGCCTAGGGGATTGAGAAGGGGTGGGGTGCCTTGGAAAGATACTTGGAGCTCACTCTCACTTCTCCTGCTAGGTCTCTCTGGACCCTCCCTGGAGGATGGCATAGGCCTCTTCCTGTCTGCATTTCTGCTCCTAGGACTCCTCAAGGCACTGGGCTGGGCAGGTGAGTGTGAGCCGCCACTGGAAGTCATTCCCTGCTTACTGCCAGAAGCCTCACACCCATCCTCTGCCTTACCGCTCTGCCATCCCACCCCTTCTCCATCTCTCCACAGCTGTCTACCTGCGTACTTCCAAGGAGTCAAAGGAGAAGGTAACCACTCCACCTTTGCCTGATTTTCCCTCATTTCATCTGCTTCCCCCAACTCCTCACCAACGGAGGGAGGCTGCTGGCATGGGGGGCAGAGCCTGGAATTCACACAGACCTGGGCTTGAAGTCCTGAACAGGCTATTTAACCTACACCTCAGTTTCCTTGGGTGTAGGGATAAAAATAATAACTTAGGCAATGCTGTGCAATAGAAATATAATGCAAGCCACATATGTAAATTTAAATAATCTAGCCCTGGCCAGTTTGGCTTAGTGGTTAGAGCGTCAGCCCGCAGGCTGAAGGAACTCGGGTTTGATTTGGGCCAAGGGTACGTACCTCAGTTGTAGACTCAAACACGGTTGGGTTTATAAGAAAAGAGTAAGAGAAAATTAAGTCAACTTTGCTCTAGCCAGTTTGGCTCAGTGGTTGAAGCGTTGGCCTGCGGACTGAAGGGTCCAGGGTTCGATTCCAGCTAAGGGCATGTACCTCAGTTGCAGGCTTGGCCCATCAGGGCACATGTGGGAGGCAACCAATCGATGTGTCTCTCACATTGATGTCTTTCTCTCTCTCTCCCCCTTCCACTCTCTCTGAAAAAGCAATGGAAAAAATATCCTCTGGTGAGGATTGAAAATAAACAATCAATCTAGTAGTAATATTAACAGGTGTTGATGTAAAAACTGTTCAAACCTGTAGAGAATTTTTTAAAAATCTTAAAACAAATTTTTAGAAAAATTTAGATCATGGGTGGGAAATGTCCCCACGAAGTTATTTGGTCTGGTCCTGCCAAGGCAAACCCAGGCGGGACTCGAAATTCAATAAATCTGAGAGCTTTTTTCATAGCTAATTTTTAAGTTGATAATTTTGTAGGGCCCTCAAATGATGTCATATTCAAATGGCCCTTGGCAGAAAAAAGATTCCCTACCAGATTTAGAGAGAGAGAGATGGAGAGAGCAAGGAAACATCAATTTGTTGTTCCACTTATTTATGCATTCATTGGTTGATTTTTGTACGTGCCCTGACCAGAGATCAAACCTGCAACTTTGGCAAATCAGGACTATACTATAACCAACTGAGTTACCCAGCCAGGGCCACAGAGAATTTTTATGAGTTTATTTGAACCAAACTGACAATTGTCAGGAAGCAAGATCTCAAATGCTCCTCAAAATGAGAGTGTGCAGCTTCTTTTATGCATTTGGAATTAAGGAGGGAACATAAGGATTACATGAAGGTAATAAAAAACAAGACAGGGATGGGATTACAGGATAGTTTACAAGATTATGTGCTTTCTTGAGGGTGGTTATTGTTTCAAAGGTGTGTTAACCTAGATTCACAAAAGCAATAGACAGGCTGGCTTAAGGCAAATATGACTTTTACTAAAGAAGTTACATGCCTGTGACGTGACTACCTACCATGACCCGCCCAGTTAGGAATTCATGATTAGGTCACCCTGTGAGGCTGCTTTCCTGAGGATCTCTTTTTCATCCAGAAAGGTAAAAAGAAACAGGTAAAATTTTTAATAATACACTTATTTCATCTGATATATCCAAGATATTATCATTATAACATATAATCAGTATAAGAAATTTAAGTGTTTTTCTCTGTCCTAAGTCTTCAAAAACAGGTGTTTATTTTAAACTGTCAGCAAATATCAATTCAGACTAGCTACATTTCGCATGCTCAATGGACTTGGATGGTGGCTACTGCACTGGACAGTGGAGCCTTCAGAAGGCTGTTGGGAGGATTAAAGGAGATAGTGCATCCCCTTTGGAAGATGCAGGAGCAAAAGCACTTGGCACAGTGTCTGCCAGGCAGAAAACAGATGTTAGCTCCATTTTTCTCCCACTCTCTGTGCCCATGATGGTTTCTTTATCTCTGGGTCAATGATGAGCACTTCACTTGGATTTCTAAAACCTCAAATTCCTCACCTGATTTTTACTTCTTTTCCAGAAAGCACAGTGAGGGCACTCGCCACCATCCTGGGGAAGCCACCATCATCTGTCAACGTGCTCCTTTCAGTCTCTCCACTGAGTGGCTGGAATGCTTTTTTTACAGACACAAATCGATGGCATTCACCTTCTTAGAGCTCTAGGGCAGTGGTTCCCAAAATTTTTGGTCTCAAGACCTCTTAAAAATCATCAAGGACTCTAAAGAGCTTTTTGCTCGTGTGGGTTATAAGCTATAGACATTTATCATACTAGAACTTAAAGCTGAGGAAAGTTTAAACAGAATACCCAAGCACATTCCATCAGTAGCGAGGGCAATGTAAATACACATCTTGTAGCTTCTGGAAAACTTCACAGTACATATTTGAGAGAATGAGAGTGAAAAAGGCAAATCACATTATGAAAATAGTTTTTTAACTTTGTGTATCATGTGAAATAGTCTCAGGGACCTCTGGGACAGGGCCCACACTTCGAGAACCTGTGTTCTAGAGCCCAAATCCATTCTTTTTGTCCCTGGCACATGCCTTTCCCGCTAGAGCCACTGCTTATCTCTTCAACCGCACCTGGTACCCTCCAGCCCCTCTCTCAAGGCTCGTCACACCGAGGGCTATTCCTTCCCTCCTCCGCTCCCCACCCCCTCGACCCAGAGCTTTGTTCCCTGGGATGCAGACCAGGTCAGCCCCCTGGGACCGCCGCGTGCCTCCTTTGTGCCCCCTTTGTGCCTTTCACCACGGTGCACTGAAGTCGTCGTGACAGCCGGTCTTCCCTCCCGGGCTCAGCTCCCTGAAGGCAAGAACAAGTCTGTCCACTGCTGTATCTCCC